GGCAAAGATTAAATGACTTTCCCAGAGTTCAAGTATAGCACTCTATCCACTGTGTCATATCCTGCTAGCACTTCAAACTAAACAGTTCAAAATGGAGCTCATTATCTTTCCTCTAAGCTTGTTCTCTTTTGGACTTTATATTTTTTTAATCTGTGGCACTACTATTCATCTATCTAGTATCCAATGTTTGAAACTTTGTTGCTCTCTTTGACTATTCCATTTCATTTCTCTAATAAAACTATATGAATAATGATTTAGAATTGAAAAGGGTCTTAGTGGTCATGTAGATGACATCAGACGACAAAGCATCAGATGACAAAACTGAGGACCATTGTGGTTAAATGACTTGCCCAAGGTAATACAAGTACTCCGTGACAGTGACAGAGGGAAGATTTGAACCCAGGTTTTTAACTCCAAATCCTAAATCCTATAGCTCTGTACTAGTGATCACATCTGTCCCTTCCTCTCTCTTCCCATTCCTACCATGTCAATACAAGTTCTCTCTGCCATCGTTCTGGTCTATTGCAATAGCATTCACTTTTTATCCCTTTCAGTTCAGTCAATCAGTCAATCAGCATTTAGTAAGTGCCTACTACATATCAGGCACTATGCTACGCTAGGGACACAAGGAAAGGCAAAAGACAGTCCTTGCTCTTGAACTCAGTCTAATGGGGAGAGGACATGAAAACAACTACACACAAATTAGAGACAATCAGTAGAGAGAAGGCAATAGCATTAAGGCAGATCAGAAAAGGCTTCTCGTAGAAGGTAGGATTTTGCCTTGGATTTGAATGAAGCCAGAGCATCCAGGAGGCAGAAATGAGATGGAAAAGCATTCCAGGCATAGGAGACAGCCAGTGAAAATAGCTAAAGAATAGTAATCTTCCTCCTTCAAAGATCTCACAAGGTTACTCCTTGGTTCAAATACTTTCAGTTGCTCTCTATTGTCTAATGAGTCAAATTGAGCTTTCTTTGGCTGGTATCCAAGGTCATTTACAAGCCACTCTTCTGCCTTTCCAGTCTGATGTCAAGTACTAAATGCTCCAGCTGAAATAGATGGATTGTTGTCTACTCCCATGGTGTCCTGCCCTTGAGCCCATCCATGCTCATATGATTAGCTATGACTGGGAGGTCCTCTTTCCTGCCCTATGCCTAATGAATTCTTACCCATCTTTTAGAACCTAGCCCAAATACTACTTCTCCTTTGATCCTCATCGCCCACCCTCCATGAGCAGAGGGAGAAGGGGAAGAATGCTTGAACTTTACCTTGCATTTGATTTTCTATCTCTATTTAAATAAACTTGTATATTATTGTGCATTATAGTTAACTATGTATCTATTATATCCCCCTACAAAACTATATGCTCAAGGACTATGTCTAATACAAATTTGTATTTCCCAAATGTCTAGTTTAGTCTTTTCTCCATAAAAATAAATTTTTATTGAGCTGAACTCAGTCAGTAAATATTTTATTAAGCACCTAATATATTGTCAAGCACTGTGCTAAACACTAGGGATACAAAAGACAGTTCATGCTCTTAAGGAAATCAGAGTCCAATGAGGGGCAGGGGTGGGGAGAGAACAAGAAAACAACTATGTACAAAGGGAAGACACTAGAATGGATTAGGAGAGGCTTCCTGCAGAAAGTGGGGGACATCAGCTGGGACATTAAGGAAGCCAAGAGGCAGAGGTGAGGAGGGAGAGCATTCCAAGCATGGTGGACAACCAGTGAGAATGCCAAGAGTCAGGAGACAGTATCTTGTTCAAGAACAGCAAGGAGGGCAGTGTCACTGGATCAGAGAGTACATTGGAGTGGTGGGGGTGGTGGACATAAGTTGTAAAAATACTGGAAAGATAGGGGACAGGTTATAAAGGGTTTTGAATGCAAAAAAAAAAAGATTTTATCATTTGATCCTTGAGATGATAGGGAGTCTATTAAATAGGGGGTGACATGGTCAGATTTGCAGTTTAGGAAGATCACTGTGACAGCTGGGTAGAGATGGATTGTAGTAGAAGAGAAATGTGGCAAGGAGACCAATCAGAAAGCTATTGATTGCAACAATCCAGGTATAAGGTGATAAAAGCCTAGACCAAAACTGAGTAATATCTGAATTATACATAGTATCTATTAATGCAAAAATGGTATTGATATTATATAGTAGATTCATTTAACCTCTAATGATTAGACAAGTAACATGACAGTAGATAACGCATTAAACTTGGGAATCAAGAATATCTTAGATATTTGACAGCAGTTAATGCTGGGCAAATCATTTATTCTCTCTGTCTCAGTTTTCTCATCTGTAAAATGAGAGGGTCAGACCTAAGTCTAAACTTCTTAGCCTGGCATTTAAGGACCTCCAAAAATCTAGCCCTAATCTCTTCTCAGCTGAATTTCCCCTCCACAAATTCCTTACTTTTTTTTTCTAATTGTAATTGGTTTACATATTATTTCCTCAAAACACTCCAGTACTTTCCACTCTTCCTCTGTCTCTTAAATGGGGAAAGAGAATAAGCATTTATTAAGCATCTATTGTGTGCCAGGCTTTGTGTTAAGCACTGTACAGATATTGTATTTAGTACTTGTTATTTGTACTTGGCCTCTATCTGTACAATGCTTAGTACAAAAGAGGACCATTGTTTCTTACCAACCTAGAAGGCAGGTGCTATTATGGTCTCCATTTTTTTCTATACCTGAGGATAAAGGGGATATTTCCACTACTGTTGCCCACTCACTCAAATGATACACCATTTTTCAAGGCCTAGATCAAAATCTATCAGCTCTTTAAAGCCTTTACTGACTACTCCAAGCTGAAATCCTCTTTCAAGGCTCGAAGTTCCTACTATACTTAGGGGTTTTTTTTAAACCATTCATTTAGTTATTAATTATATACTACACCTTGTAACTGCTACCTGTTGTTGTCTTCGGACTATTAAGCTGTGTGTACTTATTTAAACTTTATTTGTATCTTATCTCCCAAATTTTGTGATAACAGGAACTTTCTTGTATCCTTTTATATATGGTTCCACATAGTACCTAATAAAAGGGCCTTTATCCATAACAGGGAGTCAATAAAAATCAATTTCTGTTAAAAGAAACAGCTACTTTGACCTTAAACCAGATAACTGCTCTTGAGTATATGGTTTCTGTTAACTATTCCTGTTTAAATTAAGGCAGAACAACATTATACATTAAAAATTAGAACAACAGAGTGTTTTGGTTTCTCACTTGGCAGATTCTCACTCTCCTTACTTTGAAGAAATTGCAAAAATCTCCAGTGGCCCTTCCATCTTTCCTTTTCTTCTCTTTCTCCCATCTCCCTACAAGATAAAGGAGATGGGCCCACTCAAGGACAGGGAAGAAGAACCTTTCTATTTTTTTTAAACCCTCATGTACGTCCAGAGAAAGAAGAAATCAAAAACTAATACAAGAAAAAGATCCTAGAAAGGATATTATCTGAGAAGAAGGAACTCACTTTGTCCAAATCTCACCAACCTGGGACCTTAACTAGCTACATACTATTTAGTAAACACACACACACCACACACACACACACACACAACTGGCTTTAAAACCATTTGAATGCAAATTATATCAAGCAAACAAATATCCCTGGGATCATAACTGAAAATATTTGAAAAACATACTTAAATTGTCCTTTGAGGAAACTCCAAAAAAAGGCCGAAGAAAGAATGTCCATAAATATACTTTGGCCTAAAAAGGCAACTGTTTTGATAACTCTGTCCAGTGAAAATAAGAATCCGTCTGACCCCAGGCACTATGATCTAGAACATTTTAACCTGGATGTTCCAGGTCACTTGATAGTGTTCAAAATGGTTCTTAACTGTTGGAAGGTAACCAAGTGATGACAACGCAAACTCCATGTTTGTGGATAGCTCTATGCTCTGGGAAATAATAATAAACATTGACATTTTCAGGGTTTTTTCCCCCAATATATTGGTTGGTTTTGATCATAATTTTTTCCTCTTTCTCTTTTTCTTTAAAAATATTTGTTATATGGGATGGCTCTTTGGGAAGAGAAGGTGGACAGACACTGGGAGGAATTTTAGTGATGCATCAAACAAAAGGTATCAATTTAATTAATCAATAAAATGTTTTAAAATAATATTTCCAGCTATAACTATTACAAAATGACAAGGATGATAATATGCGAAATCATAAGCTATGATCACAGTTTCATTTCTGTCATTGCTTCAAAACATTTCTCCAATTAGTTTTATAATAAAAGAAACCTCATAGATTTTTCTCTAATAAAACCCACGCTCAAAGACCTTTATACCAAATGTTCAAGCTTGTTTGTGGAATAGATAAGGTTTCCTTCTTCAAAAATTCCTCTTACAATGGTAATGTGTTGCCCTCTAAGTGTTACATCAAAAGCAAGTGTTCAAGTAATTTATTTTTTTCAGGTTCTGCAAAATCAAGTCAGTTTTCCTCAAATGGGGCTTTTAACATTGTGATAGTAATAAGAAAGCTGCTTCAACAAAACACCCAATCATTACCCTTTTAGCTTTTTGCAAACTACACAAATATTTTAGCATTTAACTAGTGATTTGCACAAATATAACATTTCTCACCTTTAACAGGTGAGACAGAGGAAACAGCAAAGTAGAGACTATCCTTCTACCCAAACTTTCTTTCCATAAACCTGTACTTAGGAATTATTTTAAATAGAAGACTCTTTAATATATAATTTACAATTACATCTCAGATAAAATTATATATTATAAAGATTACAGATGTATCAAAAACAAAATATGGATTTACAAAAAAATTATGAAATTATATCCAAATTATACCTCAGATAAAACAGATCTCAGTATAACTATACAAATATTACGCCTACCACCCCAACTAATCCCCCAAAAACAGTTGTCTTATGTTTGGAGATTTGTTATGTTTGGACATTTTGTTAAATGACACAAATTTTTTTTTAAATCAAAAAAAGAAATCTTCATCGAGCATTTAAAAATATACAATGGTGATATATGACAAAAATAGAAGGTTAATATTTCCCTTGATAAGGATAAAAGTTGTCCAACTGACTTTTATAACACATATACAATTAAGACATTTACAGTTCTCTGGTATCTAACCAAGTCTGATTTATTGTGGTAGTTGTTTCTAAGAAAAATAAATACAAATATGTTTCTGAAGTTAAATCCGTTGCAGAATTTTAACAGAAATAATTACTTGGCTCCCCACAGATGAAAAGTTTATGTCATGTTTATATGCTAACTGATCTTTTTCATCCTCTACAGAGATAAATGAAATGTAAAAATTAATTTATTAAAATAATAATTCCTTATGCTTGCTACAACTACGAATTAGACTTTATGAGGCTTAGGAGGCTCTCCTTTTCAGACTCTACGGACACTAAGTATGAACACTCATCCGAAGCAAGAATGGTAAATTTTTTTCTGTAGTACTTTGAAACATGTCTTCAACTAGATTAATAACATATTAAAGAAATTAATATTACAAAAGAAGTTTTGGTCACTGATAAATGAAAATATTAATGAGACTACTTAACAGGTCAAGTCTTTTACATTAATCAAAGACACAATATAAGAGCTGTTTTACATTATGCTCTCATATCACAAGAGTTATGTCAGGTAATTTCCTCTAGTTCTTCCTAATTTATAAACATAAAGAATGTTTTCTTCCCTGCATTCCAGAAGAACTGAAAGTAAGTCTGTTTTCCTAGAGATATGATGCTAATACCCATCTCTTTCTTGTTTTGGACTTACAGTATGTTTTATATAAATAAGTTTAAAACAGCTCTTTTCCCTTTATGTTGCCTAAGCATTGGGTATTCACCTTGGTGCTAGCCTATTACATGTCAGGTAAAGGGGAAGGAAAGCTGTTTCAACATTACTCCCTAAAACACAATTTTTTAAAATTCCAAATATAATTTTTATAAAAGTTGGTAATTTAAGATAAACTATCCAATCAAGAAGTTATATTGAAAAATGAGTTTTTCCCCCTTTCAAAATGCATTTATTTATTCAATATATGCAAATAACTATGCTACAAGGAAAGCACCATACCAAAGGAAAGGTTGACTCCCAAGTGCCATCAGAAATTTAAGGAGGGAATCAGTAGTAGTCCACACAGAGGAAAACAATTACTACCCCTGTTGTGACTTTGTTCAAGGCACTTAATTTATATCTCAGTTTCCTCATCTCATGAAGAGTCAAAGCAGGTTCTAAGGTAAAAATCACTGATGTAGCATCATAGCTCCTGAACTGAAAGACGCCTTAAAGGATCATCTGGTCCTACCCCTCATTTTACAGATGAGGAAACTGAGGCCCAGAAAGATTAAGTGATTTGCCCAAGGTCACAGCTGGGAAAAAAAGGAAACAAGCATTTTATAAGTGCTTTCTATGTGCCAGGCACTTTATAAATATTATCTTATTTGATCTTCACATTGACCGTGACTTGCTCAGGTTCACATATTAAGTTTCTGACAACATATGTGAACTCAGGTCTCCCAGACTCTGGGCTCCATTGCTCTATCCATCGTGCCACCATGCTGCCTCAAGGATAGTCAGTGGAAGAGCCAGCCCTGCTTCAAATTCAGCACTCCTTCTACTACCCCATGGATCCCAACACAAAAATAACTAGTCTTCAAATGGATTTTTTTCTCAAACTAGCATTCATAAAAACCAACAGCCAAAAGAAAATACACTGGGACAATGAGCAGCAAAAGATTTAGAAAAGGCCTTTGTAAAATGGCCCTCCAAGCCCAGGTGATTCAGGGGCTACTTAGGCAGCTGGCTACAATGATGGAAAGAGAAGAAAGGGAAAAAAGAGCTACCACAAAGGCTACCTGACGAGCATTTCCTTTTGCCCTTTATTGCAATGAACAGATAAATTGCTTGCGTTTATACAGCACATTAAGATTTGCTGGGTGCCTTTACAAACATTATCTCATTGGTTGCTGTGACGATCAAATGAGATAATATTTGTAAAGCGCTTAACATAGTTCCTGACACATAGCAGGTGCTACCCCTGCTATCATCATCATCCACTAAAACCTGACAAACTATTTCTTTTTAGAAAATGAACTGGGTAAGAACTACTAATGTTGGTGGGGAGTGGTGGGAGGGTGGTTAGCTGTATCTCCACAGGATCCCAGATCAATATATATTTTTTAAAATCAAAACTATCAAATTATATTCCGATCATTTACCTCTTTATTGAGTTTGTAATGTAAATAGATACACTCCATCTTGCTGTGCCTTGCCTATAATGCTCTTCTGTGTGGCTCTATCTTAATTTTAAATATAAGGGGAAAGGAAAAAAATTAATATTCAATAAAGGCTGAGTTCACTTCCATGATCCAGCTATGACCGCAGAAGAAAGGCAGAACTGGAAATTTTAGACTTCTTGGTTTGTTTTTTTTAAAAAATCAAACCAGTTACAACTATTCTGACATAGTTTTCAGGTAGAAACTGAGGTGGAGAATACATGTTACCACTTTGTGGAGAGGTCACCACCTCCCCAAGAGTTTTCCTTTCTCCTACTAGTATGAGCAGCACCAGTCCTCAGGTTCAGTTTCTGCAATCCCGTCCTCTAATGCCTGGTACTGTTGAACCCAGTACTGTAAACCCCCCCCCCCCAGAATTTACTGGTTTGGGAAATGGTGTTTTTATTCCCCTTTGAGGTCCCAGAGTGTCTCCTCACTCCATATATGACACCAATGGACTGCCGTGTCGATCCTCCCCAAGGGGGTATCTGCACTCACTGAAGCTGGCTTGCTTTTTTATCTTGCTGTGAAGCTCTACGTTTCCTTGTATAGGGCTTTTGGTATTCTGAACATTTTAAGTCTGTATTAAGACAGAGGGAAAGAGAGGTGAGTAAAAGAAGCTGATGGAAAAAAAAGGGAGGGAGCAGCTAGGTGGCATAGTGGATAGAGCACTGGCCTTGAAGTCAGGAGGACCTGAGTTCAAATGTGGCCTCAGACCAAACACTTGACACTCACTAGCTGTGTGACCTTGGGCAAGTCACTTAACCTCAATTGCCTAAAAAAAAAATAAATAAAATGAAAAAAAAAAAAAGAAGAAGAAGAAGAAGCAGCTGATGGGAAGGCCAGCATCAACAATAAACAGGTTAAGAAGAGGGTTAAGGTAAGGGAACTATCAATTTCACGTTGCATTGATGTAACCCCTCTGGCAGTCTAAAAGTCTCAGACACTTATTACCTGTGTGACCCTGGACAAGTCAGCTAATCTCTCTGTAATTTAGTTCTGTTGTCTGTAAAATGAAGGGGGCTGGGTTTGATGGTCTCTGTGATCCCTTTTTGCTATAAATCTCTTCCTACATAAACCAGACACAATGAAGAATACACAATGTGAGGTCCAGTTTAGATTTTATAAAACACAATTTGGGGTAGTATTTATTCATATAGTGGTTAACTTAAAAGACATCTGTGAAATATTCAAAACATTAAGATGTATTTCTAAAGAGAGTTTGCTGGTCTTATATTATCCAGTCTTAAAATCACTCACCCCATTGTCTCAACTTTTGCTTCTAATAACTCACATTCAATAAATGACATTTATAGAGAGAGACCTTTCCTCAAAACAATGCAGTGGCTGGTCGGGCAAGCATTATTTTCTCAGTTTTCAAGATAATGAAACTTTGGCTGAGAGAGGTTATAATTTGCTCCCAGTCACAGTACTTGTGTCTGGACCAGAATTCAAACTCATAGAACCTAATTCTACAGGCCTGCAAACACTCTTACGACATTGCATCATTGCTAGGGATCAATAAAGGGTTCAAGACTTAATTGCTTTTATAGAGAACCTCTTAGAAAGCATGATAATAAATGGAAGGACACAATATTTACAGGGAAATTTCTGACCAGTCATTTGCCAATTGCCTAACATGTTCTAGGGGGGAAAAAGTTACTAGGTTTGAATTGGCTTGCCTCAGATTTTCTAGGTCTCAATAATTCACCTTTTTTAGTCACAAAAATGTTATAATGCTTCACTTTCTCTTAATTCTTGGTAACTAATGGAAACTCACTGGCTCCACACATTCCCTTTCTGCTAAGGTTCTACATAGCAATCCAATGTCAGTGCATCATGTACAAGTCTTGCTTTAATACATTATTTCTTGTAAACACCCATATTTTCTCCAGAGAACTATTCCTTATGATCTCCCTGCATAAAAAAAGTAGTTTCCTTCTGGAAGAAAGCAATAACATTTTTAACAATAACAAAAAGGTAACTTTGGTGCATATTTCCCAGAAAAAAAACAAAAACAAGTGGAATACACAGAAAACCTTATCTGATCATGTATCCATATATTTTAAATCTTGCTTTACAACAAGCTGAAAAATAAAGGTCTACTCTGCCCTCTAGTGACTAAGTTTTTACAACTCAATTTTTTTTCTTGGCAATTCCATTTTAGAAAAAAAAATACACACACACATATACATACACATCTGGTGTATATATCCTTGTTATTTTTAAATGTTTCAATAATTAATATCAATTGCTGGTACAGGTCAATAACTAGCTGTCATAAAAAAGAGGAACTTTTGAGAGATAATACAGTACATTCTAAAGATGTTTCAATCAAATGATGCCATATATAAGATCACACAGATTTTTCTCTTTAACACCTTCAAATTTTTAATTTTCCTATAATTAATAGCAAGAACTTATACAGCCAAATTAGAAGGAAAGGTTAATGAATTCAATACTGCTCCTTCTTTTAAAGTTTCCTCTCTGCATCATTCTTTTCAAAATATTGAACTTCATACATGTCTATATACACAGAAATATAACAATACTGAAAAACTTAATTCTGATTCAAACAATGATCAACCAAGAGTCCAGAGGACTAACTATGAAGAATGCTACTAAACACCTAACAAAGAAGTGATGGACTCAAAAGAGTACACAATCAGATATACATTTCTGGATGTGGCCAATGTGGAAATTTGTTTTCCTTGACTATGTATATTTTATTTGCAAGAAGTTTTTTTTCTCTTTTTTCCCTTTTTCAATGGGATGAGAGAAAAGAGAGAAGAGAGAGAAAATAAACGAGTGTTAATTTAAAAAAACGAAAGTATGAGGGGGAAAATGTAATTTAA